GCTGGGGAATTCTGGGAGTTGAAGTCCACTCATCTTAAAGGGGCCAAGTTTGAACAACACTCTCGTATATAAACTCTGCATAAGTGAGACAATACAAGTATTTGGAGAGAATTGTGCTCCATCTGCAAGAGCTTGGAGACAGTTTGAAAGCGTTCCTTGATCCTTGGCTGAGTCTTTTCCTGTGCTAGTGGGATTTAATATCAGTTCTCCATGCCCTGGTTACCCACCATCCTGACTACCATAATCTGCTGTGCATGAGGCTACCCTCGAAAAGTATCCAGAAGTTGCACTCGGTCAAAAATGTTGCAGCTAAACTGTAACGATGCAGGATTCTGAGATCATATGATGCCTTTACTGAAAGATCTGCACTGCGGTCAATTGCTTACCAGGCATTATTTGAAGTGCTTTGATGACCTAAAGGACCAATTTTCTTCTTACAAACCTGTCAAGATGGAATAGGGAGACTCAAGATTGCGCCCCCTGCCCACCCCCACCATCAATGGCTTATCTTTCTGGCACGTGGGAGAGAAGTTGGACTGGGCCCTTGCTTTGTCATTGCTTAGGAAATCTGTATAGGCAGATTTCTTTCACCAGGCTTTTAATTGTTCCATGATTTTAGAATGTATGTTGTTCATTTTAATATTTTAACTTTTCTTTTATTCTGGTTTGGTTTTTAATTTTGTTCGTGCCAGAGTAGAAAGGCAGGGTGTAAATTGGAAAAACAGACTTAGAGGACTCCTGCTGGTGTATTTGGAAAAAAAAGTTGGGTCTCCAGAGCAGAGGTGGTATGAACAGCTGGGCCTCCCTCTTGCCAGGAGGCTAAACTGGCAACCTGGGTTCATAGCATATGCTGCCTATAGTGATCTTCTGTGATCCAAGTTGTCTTTACCCTGTTTTAGGATTTGGATCACCCCATGGGGACTCAGTACAGCGCCAACCCACCCGTCACCATTGACGTGCCTATGACGGACATCAGCACTGGCCTCATGGGGCATGGGCAGCTGACCACCATCGACCAGTCAGAGCTGAGCTCTCAGCTGGGGCTCAGCCTGGGAGGAAGCTCTATCCTGCCTCCCGCAGCCCAGTCCCCTGAGGAGCGGCTGACACCCACCCCCTCACCCACCAATTCTGTGCACGAGGAAGAGACAGAAGAAATCAGGCGGGTGAGTTTGGACACACTGGCTGTTGAAATGTGGAGGATTTGAATCAGAGTGGGGAGGCATTGGCTGGGGGGCAGGGTTAGCTCATTCAGGAAGCTCTGCTTCAGAGTTATGGGTGAAGTAGGACATAGAGTCAATACACTGGTCTCCTCGCCTTCTGCAGTGGCTGGACAGGAGCCTTAATGGGGCTTGTTTGCCAATATAGGAAGACAGCAAGAGGTCTTATACCAGGTCAGGCTCTTGTTCTTTTAGGCAGATCTACTGAGTTGCAGCTCTCCAACATCTTGTTTCCCATCTTCTGCTGATCCTTCTTACTTGGAGACTCAGTACACAGATGCAGACGTGCCCGTTAGAAGAGGAACCTGTGGGTTGCAGAGATTGGATTGCCCTTCCCATTATCTCTGACTCCTGGTTTGCCTACTGAGGATGAAATCTTGAGAGCTACAGGCTCCTGATCTCAGCTTTTGGTAATGGAGTCAGTATATTTTCAGAGCAAACAAAGCCCAGGGAGCCCATTTGTTTTTCATAACTTGACCACGAGCTACCTTTTTTTAACTGGGTCCGCCGGTTGCCCTGTAATGATTCTCGCCATGTGATTTGGGATGCATATCTCAGGGCGTTTGCTGCCTTTAAAAGAAATGGGGACCACCTCCTCTTTTCCAGTTGTGTTTTTCCTTTCAGAGATCATTGTTTCATGTTCACTCTATGTCTTTCCTCCGCTGAGCTGTGGTTTGGCTATTTCCTGCTATTTTCTTTTAATCTGCCAGTTCAGTTCAGCTAACTTACCTTGATAGCTATTACTGACATCAGTAGCGGGACCTCAGTAGACAGTGGTAAAGGCTTTTAAAAGCTGAGCTTGACTCTTGCCGATTTCATGGATCCAGACATGGTTTGCCCTTGTGACTTCTGGGATTACCCCCCCCCCCGCCCCCCATTTAGCCTCCCATCCAAGTGCAAACTAGCCCAACCTTTTATAGCTTTTTAAGCTAAGCCCAGCCGCTGTCTTCTAAGTGAGCAGCACCTCAGCAGGAGTTAGAATAGAGCCTGGGGCAAACTTGCCACGACCAAAATAGAATCTGTTCCACCTGCCCACAGGCAAAGCCTCCATCTCTGCCCCATGCAGCTCTTTCTGACCCTGTTCATCTCTGTCCCACAGCAAGTTTCTGTCGCCAAACCAACCCCACCTGCTTCAGCAGCCCCAGCACCCGTTGCAGCGCCGGCAGCCGTGCTGGACATGGGGAAGAAGCAGAAACCAGCCAAGAAGCAGAAGAAAAAGAAGGATCCCAATGAGCCCCAGAAGCCCGTCTCTGCCTATGCCCTCTTCTTTCGGGACACCCAGGCAGCAATTAAGGGGCAGAACCCTAAAGCCACCTTTGGGGAGGTCTCCAAGATTGTCGCCTCTATGTGGGACAGCTTGGGAGAAGAGCAGAAGCAAGTATGTCCCAAAGGGTTTGTTGCATGGGGTGGGTGTAGGGATAGGACACACACACACCCTCTTCGAACTTCAGCTTCAAGGACGGCATTTCAAAGATTTTGTTCGGAACTCTCAAAATGGTCACTCTGCGCTCACCCATTTTCACCTTGGGACGTTCTGCACAGAAGTTGAGCCAGGAGATCAAATAGGCTGTAATAGTGGGTGGGGACAAGGTTGAGGAAGGCCAGCCTATCCTGCAACAGCTGGAGGAGCTTGGCATTAGAGGATTCTTTATAAAAGGTTAGGCTTAGATAATCCCTTGGGAGATGAACACATGAAGTCATCCTCCCAAAGTCTGATCCGAGCTCCATGCTGCACACTCAGCAGAGCTCATATCAAGGCGGAGGATTTCTCCCAGCTCTCAGCTCTTTTGACCTGGAGATAGACCCAAATGGGCAACTTTCAGACACAAGAGCTGTGTTCTGCTGCTGACTAATGGATGTCACCTCCCTACCCATAGCAAGATGAAGGTGGCAACCTGGTTAACCCCTGGCTGCTTTCTAAAGCTATTCCTTTAAAAAATCTGATTCGCTCATGAGGCAGCTGTATTTTAGCCTTTTGTCCTCTTTTGAGGCTCATTGATACATTTCAATCAAACGATCTTTAATCAGTGCCTCTGGAGCACAGATCTTTGCACCCAGTGCTGCTCTGAATAGACCAGAAACGTTCCAAGCTAGTAACAGAGCTGCCTCAGACGCAAAATCTTTCCTGTTTGAAATTCAAGTCGTTTTCTATGGTGTTGTGTAGCACAATCTGCTATAAGGGCAGCCAAGTGAACAACTGAAACGGGTCCAGCCTGCTTTGTAATTCCCATCTTTCCTTTCACCCACCAATCTTTTGCAGGTGTACAAGCGGAAAACGGAGGCCGCCAAGAAAGAATATTTGAAAGCGCTAGCAGCCTATCGGGACAACCAGGAGTGCCAAGTAAGGGGACGTGACCTCTTGCTCTTTTCGCATGCTTGCTCCATGGACGCCTCGGGGCTCCTGGCTTTATGCTGTTCCTCATTCCACTCACCTTCCAGAGGAGAAAGGGAGAGTAGAAGCTGCCTTTGACCAGAGATCTTACTTGCCTAGAACTGTCCCTGCTAACAAGTGCTGTTTCTCTAGTACAGGGTTTCTCAACCTTGGCAACTTGAAGGTGGGTGGACTTCAACTCCCAGAATCCTCCAGCCGGCA